GTCTTCCCCAGGCTGCAGGTGGATATCTGCTCCATTGTAGACCTGCATGGGCTGCAAGGGGACAAGCTGCCTCACCACGGTCTTCGTCACAGGCTGCAGGGGAATCTCTGCTCCAGTGTCTGGAGCACCTCACCCTCTTTCACTGACCTTAGTGTCTGTTGCTCCCACCTATTCTCACTCCTCTCTCCTGGCTGCTGTTGTGCAGTGTTTTTAACCCTTCTTAAGTATGCAATCACGTTGCTGATTGCCTCAGCTTTGGCCAGCAGTGGGTTTGTTTTCAAGCCAGCTGGAAATGACTCTGTCCAACACAGGAGCACCTCCTGGCATCTTCTCACAAAAGCCACCCCTGCAGCCCCTCCACTCCCAAAACCTTGCCACACAAACCCCATACAAGAGCTCATGCTGGAGCAGAGGAAAAGCATGAGGATGGAGTGGCAGAGATGAAGTCTTACAAACTGACTGCAACCATAACATGATAAATACTATATGGAACTTCTGAGGGAGCTGTAATACTTCCAGAAGAAATCATTATGTTAGATTACTTTAACTGGTTTTTTATGATCTTGCTTAACTCTCAACTTTTAGAGACTTTTTTTACAAGTCATTATAAGGGACTTTTTTTTCTTTCATTTTTAAAACTAATGTCAAGAGTATCTCAACTGAATATACTGAGCATATTTTTTGCCCTGGGTAAAAATGAATTACTTTCTACTGCCCTACATAGCATTTGAGATGCATACTTCTAAAAGCAAAAATAGCTTTAATCAAAACAGAGAAATAATAGTTTGTGTTATTTCTTGCATGTGCAAAAGAATGACAGCACCAAAAATCTTAGCAAGTGCCTGCCATACAGAGTTGTTGCACTCTGGAATTTTCCGTTCCTTTCAGCTACTTTGCAAGAAATGCAATGGTCACAGCATTAGATCTAACACTGTGTCACAAGCAAGAGAGTGCTAAAAGTCTTCTGGGGCCACAGTCTTGCTTATGGAAAGAATTTTTATGGATTTCCGGAAACAATAAAGAAATCTAAAACAATGTTTTAAAACCAGTGATTTACTTCTGTTGTAAAACCTACCAATAATCAACTACCTTTAACAGAAAATTCAAAGATGCATCTTTAAGCTATACTGGTATTTTTGATAATTTCTAGTTTTCTTCCACCCTTGATTCTGCACAAACGGATGGAGGAAAACAGTTTTACAGGGCTTTAAAAAAAAAAAACACCACCCAACCCTCAGTTGTTCTAGAGAGAACAAAAAAGTGTCTTGTTAACTTTGCTAAAAGTCTGGAATACAAGCCCTGTGTAGTTGCATCACACAGGTAAGCAGGCTGGATAATGGGGAGCTGGGAGGTGAGGTGGTAGAACTGATCTCTCATTTTTAAAACCAAGAGTCAGGTAAAACATTAGACTGCTACCATCTCATACGTGTTGGAAACAATGACAAACAAAAGGTTTACTCAAAAGTATCACGATGCAGAATTTCCTCTGATATTCCCTCTGACTAGGAGGCATCAAATAAAAAACAAAAAAATAAAGCTCATCTTGCCTTAAATCATTAATACACTAACTTAATCAGTTTAAACTAACTTGGGGTTTCACCCAAGGCACGCACCTGAACAGTCCTGTGAACTTCTGAAGGATCATTCATATCCTCACAGTGAATATGCTCATCATATTCTGCTGAACTGTGTCTACATGGATTGCAACCCAGTGCTGGTATCATGTTCCTTTTATGTAATTTTCAGCAATTCTTAATTCAGCATTGGAGTAAGGGAAATGACTTAAGACTAGTATTTGGAGCTTCATCTCACTTGTGAAACAGGAAAAATATTTGAATTGACAAATGACTGCCTACGAGTAAGATTTAACACAGGCATTATTTCCTAAATTCTCCCTGTTTACTTTTAGCAAAGCTAATTTAAATAACTAAAACCTGACTACATATTTAACTATCAGTCATATGTTGAAAAAGTACTGACATGCATGATCAGAAATAAACACAAAATGGAAAGAACTACAGAGACAAAAGTCAATGCCCTAAAAGTTTACATACAACAGCAGGTTATCTGCCATGGATGGAAAAGTTTTCTATAATATAACACAACACAATATAATATAATTCTATAATATTAACGTAATATAATACATTTCTAACTACATTCAATATCAAGTTTTACAGTCATATGCATTAATTAGAAGACATATTTCTTATTCTAGTAATTCTAGTAAAGGAATTTCAAGAACAGTTTGAATCATACTTAGCTGACTGCCCTACTCAAAACGTTCATGCAGAAAGGCACACTATTGCTAAGTACTGGAACTGAAACCTGAGAAGTGCGTGTCTTTTAAATTTACATTTTTCATCTATTTTTTTCTGACTTACTCTAAAATTTTCCATTACAATGGCTTTATTCTGCACATGAAAATAAGGCCCTACACACAGAAAGTTCTGAGTGACTAAATGCTTTCAAAACCAGTGAAGTTACATTAAGGGTCTGACCTAAACCTACAACACCAAAAAAACAGTCTTAAAGGGTAAAAGAAGTTACAGTAAAAGTTCAGTGATACTTCCTATCCAACACACTTCTATTTTAGTATTTTCTGAACATTATACTTTCACCAAAGCTTAAGCTCATTCACCCTTTGGTACATTCTGAAGGACTTCATAAAACCTTGAAAGAATGTATGTTAGAAAAAAATCTGAATCATAGAATCATAGGTTGGAAAAGACGTCTCAGATCATCAAGTCCAACCATCTGCCCAACACCATCATGCCTACTAAATCATATCCCGAAGTGCCCTATCTCCACGTTTAAGCACCTCCAGGGATGGTGACGCCACCACCTCCCTGGGCAGCCTATTCCAATGTCTGACCACTCTTTCAGTAAAGAATTTTTTCCTAATATCTAATCTAAATCTCTCCTGACGCAACTTGAGGCCACTGACTCTCGTCCTACCACTAGTTACATGGGAGAAGAGACCAACACCTGCCTCTTGTCTACTAAGAGTAGAAGTAGAACTGCTAAACTACACCATTCTAGTTTCTATGAAACTGTTTTAGAACCCCCTCTCTGTTAATAGTGTCTCCTTGCTTTTGTTAAAAGCACCAGTTATAATAGAGCAATCTGTGAAAAGTAATTAAAAATGTTCTTTCCTGTGAACTTACAGGTAGTGATTTGCTCAATTTTCTCATCTTGCAAGGCATTTGACACTGTCCTGCGTGATGTCCTTGTCTCTAAATTGGAAGGACATGGATTTGAAAGACGGACCACTCGCTGGACAAGGAACTGGCTCAATGGACGCACAGAAAGAGTTACAGTCAATGGCTCGATGTCCAGGTGGAGACCAGTGACGAATGGTGTGCCTCAGGGGTCGGTGCTGTTCAGTATCTTTGACAGCGACATGGATAGTGGGACTGAGTGCACCCTCAGCAAGTTTGCCGAAGACACCAAGCTGTGTGGTGTGGTTGACACACTGGAGGGAAGGGCTGCCATTCAGAAGGACCTACACAGGCTGGAGAGGTGGGCCTGTGTGAACCGCATGAAATTCAACAAGGCCAAGTGCAAGGTCCTGCACCTGGGTTGGGACAATCCCAAACACAAATACAGGCTGGGTGGAGAGTGGCTCGAGAGCAGCCCTGAAGAGAAGGACTTGGGGGTACTGGTGGATGAGAAGCTCAACATGAGCCGTCAGTGTGTGCTTGCACCCCCAAAAGCCAACCGCATCCTGGGCTGCATCAAGAGAAGCGTGGCCAGCAGGTTGAGGGAGGGGATTCTGCCCCTTTACTCTACTCTCATGAGACCCCACCTGGAGTCCTGCATCCAGCTCTGGAGCCCCCAACATAAGAAGGACATGGATGTGTTGGATCGGGTCCAGAGGAGGGCCACAAAGATGATCGGAGGGATGGAACACCTCTCCTACGAGGACAGGCTGAGGGAGTTGGGGCTGTTCAGCCTGGAGAAGAGCAGGCTGCGGGGTGACCTTACAGCAGCCTTCCAGTAGCTGAAGGGCGCCTAGAGGAAGGATGGAGAGGGTCTTTTCACAAGGGTTTGTAGTGATAGGACAAGGGGGAATGGCTCCAAACTAAAAGAGGGCGGATTTAGATTAGATATTAGGAAGAAATTCTTCACCATGAGGGTGGTGAAACACTGGCACAGGATGCCGAGAGAAGTTGTGGATGCTCCCTCCCTGCAAGTGTTGAAGTCCAGGTTGGATGGAGCTCTGAACAACCTAGTCTAGTGGAAGATGTCCCTGTTCATGGCAGGGGCGTTGGAACCAGATGATCTTTAAGGTCCCTTCCAACCCAAATCATTCTATGATTCTATGATCTTAAAAGGAAACTTCCTCTTTTCAAATTCTCAATTATTTCCCTTTTTCGTCTGATCTGCAATATAACTATGCATCATTTGTGTGCATTTCCTTAATGTTAAAATAAATTACTTCATAAAAAGGACAGAATATAGCAGGATAGGAGATATTTTGGTCAAAAGGAAAAGCCTAAGGTAATAACACCAGTTATTCTCAGTCTCATTCTGGAGAGTCTCTTTGTGAAAAAGTAAAGGACTTGTTGCTTTCTAAAAACATATGAATTCCACTACTTAACTCACAAACAATTTCTTTTTCCTTATGTAGTCAAAAATACACTTCATTGTTTGTATGCACATAAAACTGTTTAAATCCTGGTTACCTACTAAAGGAGTCCTAATTGCAATTGCACATTTCAATCACACATGGTGAAGAGCACATTCTCATGAAATCTACAGGAAACAGATTCGTGCTGCCACGCAGTTATAATTAAAGTTATCTCCACTACAGAAATATACACCTTGCAAAATATGTGTCTAGATGATTTACCCAAAATAATGAAGAACAAACACTCAGAGAATACTGCTTGCTTTTACTGATCTCCTTCATTCCCTGAGCCATGAGGAATTATTCTCAACCCATACAATTAGTTAAATTTGCTTTATACTGATATTAGACACTATAATGAAGTTACCTGTCATTAATGATCCAGTTCAGACACAGATTGAGGGAATTAAGGTTTTTGCATCTCTTTACTATTTCCATCACTGTTTCATTGTCCAGTTCTGTGATGTGACGTAGATCCAAGCTGGAAAGATTTCTTAGCTATTGAGACAAACAAAACACAAAGAAATAGTCTGAAATTTGCTCAGATACACAACTGTTATAAAAACCATTAAACTTTCTGGTATCATGTTTAATATGGGCGAGTTAGTCAAGAAAGATGAGGTTATTGTATTTTTCACAAAAAAGAAACACATCAGAGATGCTCATAGAACCCAACTTTCGCAAACTTGGAATTCAGGCATTCAGTTACTCCATGAAATCCAAACACTCTCACTCATAGTCCAACACATCTACAATAGGGGCCTACGACTTCCTGCTTTCAACTGTATGGAGCGTAAGATAGCAAGGTAGCATACCAGCTCATTTAATTATAAGAAAAATAGGGCATAGAAGGAAGCGGAGAGAGCACTTCTGTGCTTAGATTCAAATACATGTAATTAAAGACTCCAGAATCTAAGGCTTTCAAACTAAGTAAATATTACAAACTCAGTGGAAAATACAGTATTTACACTGTAGTCTCACCACCACCGCCATCCAAAATAACCTGGAAATTATGAACAAAAAATGCTGGAGTCACAGAACAATATGATTATGATTTATGCACTGATTAATCTGATTCATTAGTATTGTTAAGCATTAAAATGTCCTTCAAAAGCAAACAAAACCCTCTTACTCCTTTTATGAGCTATGGATTCAAAGAACAAAATTTTTAGAGGTTTCTGCAGTATCCTTAAACAACTGACCAGTTTAGCCACAATAACCTCCAAGTGCTCTTTGCTTTTTAAAATTGTCTGAAATAATCTCTGTTATACTCTGGAAAAATAATTGCATTAGGTAATACTGACACTTTAATTAAATTTACCTTTCCTGTGAGAGAGAAAAAATAATCCTATTCAATGATATAAGTCACTAAGGATTTGATTAAGTAAAGGAGTACAACTGAGATCATACAATCGGTCTACTTCAGTAGTTAATTATTAAGTCAATGTATTTAAGGAAAAAAAAAAAAGATAAAAAGGAAAAGGAAAAAAAGAGGACTTCAAATGCAGATAGTCTTCTACAGAATGTGGTGTTTTGTTCCAGAAGTTTTTAACACTCTCCAAACTAAAGCTGAAGATAAACCACATACTGCTTCCAAAAATTCTGCAGAACAAGCATAAAATTAAGGTACTTGACCTCTGAGAAACCACCACAGGGTATGTCTATAGGAAGTAGGACAATAATATTCCTATTCTTAGGATACTGCCACAGGTGTACTATGGAGGTGCTTGTTATCCCACTGAACTTCTCATAATCTTATTTGCCTATTAGGGACAAAAGCACTTAATGATTGATATTGTGTTAGTAAAATGGGACAGATTTTAAAAGCTCTGTCTCTGTGCATTTCATACATGCTGCTCTAGAAGGAAGTTTAAAAGACATACGTTCTATGCACCCAGAAAAAGCTCACAACCAACCCCTCATTTTCTTCTGCATAAACTACAAGAAGAAGGCAAAGCTTAGAGCAACTTTGTCACCTTCAGACAGCTATTTGCGTTACATACTCCAGCCTTTGTACTGTGTGGGCAATAACATGGCCAATGCCTATGACATTGGAAATAAACTTACCGGACAATTCAACAATTCATATGTTCTATAACAGTAAAAAAAATATTTACCAGACCTCAAAGACAAGCAGAAAATCATCCCATTAAAAAAAAAATAGAATTCTTGACCAAAACATGTTTTCCTTCATGACAACACTCTTCCTATGAGCAGGTGATAATACTGGTGATTCTTTTGTAATTATTATTACTTACAGAGTAAAAAACATGAACTTGCATTAAAGATAAATCAATGCATGGACATCAGTGCTTATTTAAAAAGTGTCTAACTAACATAGCTTCATATTAGGTAAGAGGTAACAGTAGAGTATCTACCTCATTGAGGCAATGATGAATACAGCAGAAAGAATTCGTTACTTCCCAGGAAAAAAAAAAGACTTTTGCATTGCATGGGTAGACTCAAAACCTAAAGCGAATTCCTAGTATTCCTACTAAGCAAATTAATAGGCTTTCCAAGGCAGATTTTATCCTTTACTGACACAGGAGAATAATCATTGCCTCACTGTTTCTTTCCTCCATACTAATAATGGTCTACCATTTTATTCAATATACAGTAACTTAACCATCACTTTCCTTTTTTACTGTAATATTCATCCATTTTAAACAGTCTATCTGACACCTGACCTACTTGGTAGGTTAATTCTCCTTTTTATCAGGTGCAGCTTACTTGATCCAGAAAACCTTACTGTCTCAGAAGTTTGAAGAGACTGCTTTAGACTGAGCCAAGCTCTTCAAGTATAATTTGATCTATACAACCTCACTATGGCCGTTTCAGATGAGTGAACGACTTTCAAGAGCTGCAGAATTGGATACACATTCCCTTAAGTACTGGACCTTCTGACATGATTTTGTATGAATTTGAACATGACATGCAAAAAGAATACCCCTTTGCCTATTTAAATCAGAGGTATCAACATCATCTTACCAGTCAGAGTATTGTTATAAATGTACATGTATTCATAGTCCTTGAAAAAAATGGGATGAATACTTCAATGACAAATGTCCTGTTTTATATTTTATATGAAAAAGTAAATGTAATGGGTTAATGCTACAATGCTGAATCCTTTATTAATCACTAGTATTTTAAAAAATCAAGAAAAATTACATAAGTTTTATATTCTACCCCTAACGCTCACATGTAAAAGTAGTATGACATAAGAAAAATATATGTCTCTAAAGCAGACAATTGGACAGTTGGGATGTTCGAATCTTCAGTGCATGCATAAATCTTGAGATTAAAACTGCATACCTTTAATTAGCATTTTTCCACAGGAAAATGAAATTCTGTGACTTTACTCAATTTTAGGGCACCAAGATGAATACAGTTTTTTGGGGTTTTTTTGTTTGTTTTTTTTTTTCAGTCAAAACCAATTTTCTTCATGCAGAAATACCAATTTGTTAAGCAATTTCAGGGCCATTTTTTTACAGATATTCAAAAATTTCTTCAACTCTTAATTTTATAGCTCTACAAATAATGCTCAGCTTGAGCAGAATTTAAACTTTGAACTCTGCTCCAGCATATAAAATGTTTTAACTGAAAAAGGAATATTTAATGTGACAATAAAACAGACAACACAAATAATAGACAGAGGGCTTAAATATATGAAATGGAAAATAAAATAAAATAATTAAGAGAAAGCAAAACCAGTGAAATGAATTCTGTGTGCTACACACATACACAACTTTGCTGAAATTACTGAATATTGACTCAGTGCTAAAATTGTGTGATAGTATAATAATGTCACTTAAATTTCAGGGGAATTCTAGATAGATGAATAGGATTAGAAGGGAAGAGGATGTCGGACCCTTCCTCCCGGTCCCACTAACAGACAGAAAATTGAAAAAAGAACCACTTAGATCACAAAATGATTTTGGACAAAGGAAGTCTGAAAAACAGAGTTTCAGTTCTTTTAAAAACATATTAAAATAAAAAAACCCCCTATTTTTTAAGAAATTACTACTTTCTGCTCTCAACTATTTTAAATTGCAATAAAATAATTTCTGTTCAATACTTTTGTTGGTTTAAATGAAATTTTATGGAGGTTGATATATTTAAAGATTTTGAGATTATCATACCGTTTGCGTGCCTGAATGTTGTGGAGTTCACAAGAATTGTAACTTGATTACTGGAACTTGTAATATTAAAATATGTGCAGTGCTAATCAAGAAGCTAGAGCGTTTGAAAACTTATCACAACCAACCAAGTAAACAAACAACAAACAAACAAAAAAGAGACAAAATATTCCTGATTTAAGACTGTTCAAGATTAGTATAAATTTCATATACTTTAGATGATAAAAAATTACTTATTACCATTGGGATCAGCAGTCATCTGTCAGTGTGGGTGTCTCAACTCTGAATATTTAGCTGTTATTGTGTGGGACTACTATTAGAATGAGTATGAAATACTTTGTTGTTGTTGTTGTTCCACACACACTTCCACAATTCCTGTAGCCATATGCTTCCTTCAAAATCATAGAACAGAATCACACAATCATTTAGATTAGAAGAGACCTTCAAGATCGAGTCCAACTGTAAACCTAATGCTGCCAAGTCCAACACTAAACAATTCACATAAGACCAATCCTCTTCAGAAGTAAAGCCAAACTACCTCTGAAGGAGAGTGCTTATAAGGACTTAATGAGCTTTAAATTCACATCTTTTGCTAATTATGCTTAATTGTCTTGACACTGTCTGTGTGTATGTGCCTTCAGGAAATAAACTGCTCTCCGATTTAAGCCCCCCAAAGTAAACATGTGATCACAGGAAATAAAAAGCAGCAATCTGAAAAAAAAATGTATATGACATTCTTTTTATTATTATTTCAATAGCATCTATAAACTGTTTTTTAGAAGTCACATACATTAATTTTTACTTATGACCTGAAGTAAATGAACTATACTATTGAGATACATTGTGTTCCTGAAACAGTAATCGTACATGGAAGAATTGGAAAACGACTGAATAGTTACAGAGGAGACTATTTTCCCATAGACTGATTTAATGTTCTGCACGTTCACAACTTTTAATTTCATTTCTTAAAGTTAAATACTGCAGAGGATTGAGCTCCCATGTCTTAAATAAGAGATACACATTGAAAACTTCTGTTGTAAGCACAGAGATCTAATTCGCATCACTTACAAAAACAGAAAATTAAAAGTTTGTTTTGAAGAGTGTAGGTATTTGTAAAAAAACGTGCCCAAGAAGAAATTGGAACTGAAATGTATGTTAATTAAGGAAACAAAATTATTCTACAGATTCCTTTGGTCTGTAATGTATCAGGGCAAAACACAACATGAAAGTGAACTACATATGTATTCAAGCTGTCACTCCTTCCAAGATGACTGATAACACAAATTTGACTTTTTTCTTCACTGCATGCATACTTCTTATGCTACAAAAAAAAATACATTGCCCTTCTTTCTAATATTAAGG